TGTTATTAATTAAGATCAGAAGCTCTTAGCAAATTGATAGACTTAAAAAGATTGGAACATTCTAAGTGATGAGAGAGTGGCTTACAGCGTTTTGTCCAAGAACGGTGCAGAGGATACCATCTGAGGCATTTGCACGGACAGCGCGAATCATGTATGTTGGATCAATGTACTTCACATCCACTGGCATACTTACTTCTTTGAAATACTTTTTCGTCTATACCAAAAACAACAAGAAGACATAGTTAGCAACTACACATGATCAAAAAGGATCTTTTAGCTTAGAAGTAACTCACCTCCTGTTGAATGTGGACACCGAAATCACCAAGTACTGTGTTTCCAGATGCATCTTTGGCATTAGTTTTCTCTAGGAGATTCTGCAACAAAACGGTGAAGATGTAAACTAAAACATATCTTTTAAGTGGAGAAAAAAGTTCCTTATAGCTTTACCTGTCCAGCTCCTTCAGCTACACAGATCACAGCAGAGCCTTTTGTTTCGATAAGGTACTTCAAATGCTTCAGTACACCATTAGGTCCATGAATATTGAAAGGAACCTTGAATCAAGAAGACAAAAACTCAGCAAACATGTTTTGGAAACTGAAAATTCTAGGAAAAACAAACAAGTACCTCGGGAATCAAACAGATGTCGACTTGTCCACTAGCTAAAGAGGCTTGCATGGCAATGAAACCACTGTTACGACCCATCAGTTTTACAATGCCAACGCCATGATAAGCACTATGTGCCTAATACAATAAAAAAAAAATGGTGAAGTACTTATTAAGGTAAAGAGACATAGTAGTGAATATACATACATAGAAGGCTAGATAAGTTACCTCAATGTAGGCAGAGTTTATAGCTCTTTGTGCTTCTTCAACAGCGGTATCAAACCCAAACGTCTTATCCATGTGCAAAATATCATTGTCAATAGTCTTTGGCACACCAACAACAGCTACCTTCATCTTTCTTTTGCGGCACTAGAAGAATCAAAAGCATGAGATGTTATACTCTCAGCTCAACTAAGAAGGAGAGAAAGCAAAACTACAACATTAAGTTTCAAGTGTTAAGTAACAACCTCATTGTGTATAGCATTGGCACCAGCATGAGTTCCGTTTCCACCCAGCACGAAAAGCATGTTGATTCCTCTCTCCTAAGTAAATTCAATGAACAGAAGTCAGAGTCTGTGATCTCAGAAAGGTCCTTAAGGACTTGGAAACCAAGTGATATACTACCTCCATGCTGTCAACAATTTCGCTGACACTAGGACCTCCGCGTGAAACTCCAAGCAAGCTTCCTCCAGATAGATGAATGTTCTGAACCACTTTCCTTGATAACTGAAGAAGATCAAAGAGCAAATGATAAACTTAAACAGAAGAAGAAAAAAAAAAAAGAGGATAAAAGATTCAAAGTTCAAAGAGGGAGATCAAACTATACCGGCATTTCGGTTAGATCTTTATCAGAGAAGCCTTTATAACCAAAAGGAATCCCAACAATGTTCTTAACACCATAAATCTCAAGAGTGATAACAATCTGCAAAACGTATCCAAACAATTTAACACACTATCACTCTCTCTCTAATAATGCCAAAGTTGTTTCCAGACAATAATAAACTCACATGTCTAATGACATCATTGAGACCAGGACAAAGCCCACCACAAGTGATGATGGCAGCCTTCACTTGTTCCGGTCTGAAGTATATCTTCTCTCTTGGCCCGGCACGGTGAATCCTAACACGATCCCACAAAAATCATAATTATAAAAACCAAAAAGACAAAAATTCTAATATCTAAACTCAAACTCTAGAAGAGTTACCATTGCTCAACCCAAGAACAGTCGGAATCAATGCACTCAGCTCCAGCAGAAGTTGGTGAAGAGTAACTAATAACCTTGAGAAGAACCCTATCATTGTTATTAATGTATCCATGCCATTCTTCATCAGAAGGGTATCCACCAACAAAATCTTCCGTAGGAGACCTTAACAATCAAAAAAGATGATTGATTAATAAAAACATGTTATAACAAATGCAAGAAGATTTAAAACAGATGAATAAATGCAATATAAGTAAACGACATAGAGAATTTAACGTGGTTCACCAATTCAGCTACGTGTCTATAGATTATAAATAGATTAAAAGAGCACAAATATATATATATATAAAAGAGTATTCCGCATTATAAAACCCTAGTGTTAAATCGGTTATAAACGAAACGAATTTTCTAAATATCAGTCTACTGTTAAGGAACTTGTCTAAACAATAATCTTCTACCTAATTATCCGCCTAACAGTTTCTTTATCACTAAACCAAGTTTTTAAACTCTAACCTCATCTTGAGACAAAACGTGGAACGGATTGCTTCTGCATCAGGGAAGACATCAGTGATGTGAGGGATGCTGAATCTTTCCTCGAACTCTCTCTCATACTTTGTTTTCCAATTCGGATCGCTGAGATCAATCGAAGGCGAAGTTTTGCTGTGTTCAACCGCTGAAGCTCGAGTTAAAGAGCTACGAGAAGAAGAGATCAGTGAGAGATTCGCCGGAGATCTGGAGTTTCGGAGGAGTAACGAGCTGAGACCATGGGACCTAACGTGAACAGAGCTGTTGTTACTGTAAGGAAGCGAGACGCACGGAGTGATGGACGGAGAGAGTGTTTCCATGGCGACGAAAGTTAGGTTGCGATCGGATCTTTGTTTTTATTCTTTTCTTTTTCAGGCAACAGTGTGTGTGTTTTTATTAGTGGAAGGGGGTTTGACTAAAACCTTTGAGACTAACGAAAGAAGTACGAAACAGATCTTAACTTTTTGTCTCCTATCTTTTTTTTTCTTTTGTTTTCAAGTGAAATTGTGAAATCATCATTATTTGTAATTTGTAAGTTGTTCTTCTTTTCCATTACACAGTTATTTTTATATGTGAAAAAAATCCATTTAAATGATTGTAATCACAGAGGTGGATGGTACAATTTTAAACATTACTAGATTCTAACCTGATGAAAAATTTCATTAATAATTAACAACTATTTTGTTAATATGATTTAATTTTCTATTTGAAATATTTTATATTTAAATTAGTATTTTTAAATTTGACCCACCCCGCAGAGTTAACTGGTTAATCTAGTGATTCGATAATTTTATTTAGATTTTTAAAATAGTCATATTTTTAAAAAATACTAAACACCGAGACCACCCTACTAAATTGATGGATAATAGATATGTAAAATTCAAATCTGTAAAAATAATTTTTTTTTTTTTTGTTATTTTATAAACTATTTGAATTTTTAAATTATTTAATTGATCTAAATAACTTGAAAGACAATTGTTAGAAACTATTAAAAAGATGAAATCTAATATTTTGTATTGCTTGGACACAAAAATAATTATAATGTTGTTTGAAAACACTGATAATAATATAAAAAGATAAATTGGAAATATACAATGTATAGTAGTATAAAGATGAAATATTAGTAATTTAATGAAAGTTTAACTACAAAATAAAAATATGTATTTAATTTAAAAATTTACAAAATAAATGTTAGGTCCAACAGAGTGTTTTTGTTTTAATAGGATAGATTCAATGATTTGATGACATGCACAGTTATTATAAATTATTGCATTTGTAAAATATTTTTGACCGATTAACGATATAATGCATTTGTGGTTTAATAATAAATTAATAATAACATATTTTGTAATGAAAGTTATAGTAAAAAATAATTTAATAAAATTTAATTTCCTTAAAATATTTTTTGGTTTATATATATATGTTAATATATATACTGATATCTCAAATTTACGGCGAATATTTTGGTTTAAATTTGTTAGAATATTAATTAAAATTTAATATATATGTATATGTATTATAATATCTCAATTAAAAATAATTAAATATTTATTTATATTTAAATAAAATAGTTTTATTTTTTTTGTAACCATAAACATTAGCTGAAACCAATTTTTTATTTGAAATGTTTAGAGCAATTTAAAATGGTTTACATCATTTTGTGATTGTTATAAAATATCAAAAACCGTCCTTACCCGGAAATACATTGTTTACTTGTATTAATAAAACCAATTGCAAATTTTGCAATGTAAGAACAACTTCGCCGATAATGTTTTGCCAATGTTATATTTTTAGTTTATTATTTAATCAACGTAGAGTTGACATACTGCAACTTTGTTGAGTGAATAGTTCGGAATAAAACTTTTGTTAAGTTATTAGAAGAATGAGATCTTTTAATTCGAACTTTAGTTAGTGATATCAAGAATAAAAGCTTAATCCGATACCCATATATTTGAATCTGATTCTGTTGGTTTCAAGAAGTCAAAGGGAGTTGTGAGTCATGAAGACTATCAGAGCATCCATAATGGTGGATTTACCCATTGAATCCTTAAGATTATTAACGTATTGTAATTTTTTTTTTTAATTTTTTGAAAAGTTGAGGACTTTAATCCAAATTGTATGTCCAATAATATTCTCTATTTTGAAATTCTGAACAATAAAAAATATTTAATTTTTAAAAATGTGAAATTAATTTTATTTGTTTATCAAGTTATTAGATACAAAAGATACAATAAATTTTAATTTTTATCACCAAATTTATTTCAAATATCGATGATTCCGACGAAATCAACAACTCTTAGAAAACGTTGCATACTTGCATCACACACACACTCGTGGTAATGGTCTTTCTCAACTCCGTTATTTAACCATCAATAACGCCCTTGTAATGATTATACAATGAGATGGCTCAAAAGATTGAAAAATGATGAAAATGAATTGCCAATAAGTGTCATTCTCATATAATGATGATTAGATTTATAAAAAAAACTCAGCTAGTTTCTATGGCAAACATAAATTTAGAGATAATATTTATGCAAATAATGTTAACTGAAACGATAATAGCTAAGCAAAAAGAAAGAAAGAAAAAAGAGTACAGAATCAAAATAATTCAGAATTCATCAAATAGGCTTTTATATAGTCATCAAAGAACCCACCCAAGTTGGGTATCGATCACACTGACCGTAAACCACCACCGGCTTGCAAAGCTTCTTGCAGGGATGTCACAGCGCCTTCGTAGTTTAAGAAACCCATGAACCAGAACTCATGATTGTCTACCGATATTACCTGTATGTACTTTTCTGCAGGATTCACTATGCTTGTTGATGGATTCACTGCTTTAAGTTGATGTAATGGTATCACCACCTGTTTATCAAACAAGACACTAATGTGTTGGTTAAGGATCACCAAAGCAAAGTTTATTCAAATGAGTAAACAAGAGAAGAAAGCTGATAATATCGTATTACTACTCTCACAAACCCTCCACAAAAAGTCCAACAAAACCATGATGATGTTAGGAAAAGTCACACTCTAAGGCAGCTCATTAGTTACTAACAAATCATAACGAGACATTGTCTTAAGCATCTAACCACAAAACGTTAGCTTTATAATTACTGTAGCAAGTCAAACGCATTGAATCTAAAGTCCTTGACTTTATGACTTAGATATATAAAAATAAAACCATAATGGTCATAACTAGTGACTCTTAACGTCCATGGCTGATCTATAAACAACAAGACAGCTACAATTCTGAGACACATTCTTAAGCATTGACTAGCTTAACAGATGACGCATAGTTAATGATCACAGAGGTGACCTGGTGTCTTTAAGACGACTACACTTCTGATTATACAAGATGTAAGGCATTATTTACCTTACAATAGCTCCATCTAAATGAATCACAGTCTAAGGCAGCTAACTAGCTGTTACTATAAAATCATAACGAGACACTGTCTTCAGCATCTAACAGAGAAGACACAAAGTGTTGGTTTATAACCCCTGTAGCAATTTAAATACACTGAACCTAAAGTCCATGACTTGGATATATAGAACCATGATGAAGCCAAAACAACCGATTCTTAATTCCATGGCTTAATCACTATGAGACAGCTCCGAGACATTTTCTTTAGCATTGACTAGATTAACAGATGATGCAAAGTAGTTTCGCAGAGGTGATATGTGTGTTTCAAGATGCATGGCGTTATTTACCTTGTAGTAGCTCCATTCGGTCTGGCCATTATTTTTGTAAGAGAGAGGGTTGTCACTACAGTAAGCAAGCTTGGCAGAGGATATATATAGAACTCCCATAACTGGGCCAGCTGAAGTCGACAAGTAACATGCAAAAGAATTCAGCAGCTGTTCTTCTGGAACGGTTTCAAAAGTTTGTCGGAAGATCTTCTCATATCCTCCTTCTGCAAGGACCTTAGTGCTCTGTGCAATTCTTCCCATAGCAGCATCCGCAAAACTCGGAGCAGTTCTCACTGATAGACATAGAAGATTATAAGAGAGATCACTCAAATTTATCCAGAATGAAAAATTCAAGAGAAACGTAAATTAAATCTTGTAAGTTTTCTCAACCCCCTCCCCCTAATCCAAAGTTTCAGCCAATCCTAGGTATACGCACTACGCAGGCATTAGACAGTTCCCCTAATACTCCATTGCTCAAACATTTATCCAACTCATCAAGACATTCAGTTGATTAGATTGAAATAGAAAATTACAAGTTACAAGAGGGATCGCTCAGATAAAATCAACAAGCAAAGCACATCCATTTAAGAGAAGACATGAGACAGAGTTCACACATAAACAAACAAGTCACATTCAATGAAGGAAGAGATGAATTAGAGTTCACACATAAACAATTTTATACATGAATCAAATAGTGCATTCTTTCTTAACGCCACCAATTCTAAAATGTCAACCGATTAAGGACTTAATGGGGTGATAGATTATAAGAGAGATCACTCAGATAAATCTGGAATTGAAAATGCTAGAGAAATGAACAAGCAATCCAACCAATAAAGGAAGACATAAGACAGAGCTCATACAAACAGTTTAAACGTAAACTAAAGTTTCTCAATTCCAAAAAGACAACTTCTTTAGCTAGTCATCAGACATTTCTCCTCAAACATTCATTGCTCAAGTTACCGTAATCTTTTCTCTGGATTAGAATGTAATTCATCAGCACAACAACAAAAGACTTAATGATTACGCCACTAGAACTGAACCTCCCTATCCATTACACGAAAAATCACGAATAATTATGCCCCATTCTCAAACTGATATCCACAAATTTAGCTCATAATTCACCAAAGATTTTTGCTATTGTTAGTGGTCATCCAAGGTATCATATTCCAAGTTCCAAACCAATCAACATTGTGACAAGCATCTAATTTCAAACATCACACAAAGACGATACAAAAAAAAAAAAAAAAAAAGAGAAACTCACGGTGCTGCCAGGTGTTGCCGGCAAGGC